GGCAGCATTAAATAATAAACAATTAAGTATGAATAAATAATGTGTTATTTGTTTACTTATCTGAAATAATGTGAAAAAGTGATAGAAAAATAATAAAATATTACATATTAAATATAAAATAATGTTATATTAAATAATAAAAATATTTCTTGCTATTTTTACAGTGCCTCTTTTTTATTATTTTGCGAAATAAAGAAGCAGATTTTGTGCAGGGTATGGGTGCGCTCCTAATCTATACTGAACCTGTGGCTGTTTTACACAAGATGATATTACTGTGGCTTAAGTGCAATGTGTGATATGGAAATAAAGAACTTTAGTACATTCCCATCCTAATTCTAAACTGTTTGATGTAAAACGGGCTGTAAGATCATCTAACCTAAGCCTCCGAAATGCAATTTCTGTTAAAGAGCTCTTATAAAAGATCAAGTTTTGGCAAACTGCCTGATCTCTGGCTTATATGTGCTAAGAATGACCGTCAAACTATCAAAGCCAGCTTTAAAACCAACCAGGAACTGATGAAGATCTTGTTATAAGCATTAAACATTGAAAGGAACCCAGTCTAAAATATTCATAAAACTTTAAAATGTTCTGATCTCTGTATTCTGTTTGACTTTTCATTGTGTATTATGTTTCTTCTTTCAATTTAATCAAACCAGGCTCAATTCCATGTCTTTGCGCACCTCATTTCATTGCAGAATTCATACTGGCCCGGGCAAGTGGTTTTGATTGTTTTTCCTTAAAGGGGTCATATGTTGCGATTTCAATTTTTCCTTTCTCTTTGGAGTGTTACAAGCTCCTATGATTGAAATTCAAACAAAAATGAACAAAGCCGGTATAGAACAGCGACAGAGACTTAGTTCAAACACTATTTGCATTGATCACAACTTCCGTCCTTAAATTAATGTGGATTAATGTGTCCCTATATTATATGCAACTATATATGCTGTTATATATAATAATATATTATGTCTTTATTTGATTTATTTTATTTAAATTTATGTAATTTTATATTTGTAAATATATATAATGTAAAAGTACTTTTAAAAATAAAATATATTAAAAAATAAGACACCATCTTTATTTTTCATTATAATTTAATACTTATAATAAATATCACAATAAATAAAAAAAATATAAAAATTATATATTAAAATAATAAAATTACAAAAAATAAAATAAAACTAAAAAGCTTCCCAACCAATAACCTCCCAAGACAACAAAAAAGGTTTGGGGATTTAAATTAATATCATTATGTAATATGTCTATTATTATAATTATTATTATTATTATGTATTATTTAAAATAGCCAACACCATAACTTAAAACATCGGCATGTATGATCTCAGATATATATGTAAAATAATAATAATAATCATCATAATAATAATAATTGTCCATAACAGTGTACAGAAACCAACTGCTGGCCCTCATGAGAGACAAAAGCAGTTGGGACAGAGGCTGCTTTGACTTGAGTCGTACATTTGGTTGCAACTTAGGTCAGTTTGTCTGGTTAGTAGTTTGAATAACACAAAACATAATCAACCACATAGGCTATCTGTATATGAGCATAAATCATGACTGAAGCTCGTGGACCACTGGATGCTGAACTGTAGATAACGGACCACTGATTAACATTCATCCTTTGATTTGATACAGGGATCTTAGAGTATTGGTAAAACGCACGATAATGTAAATTAAAAGCATTGCATATATAAATTTGTCCGTGAATAAATGTGAATATTACTCACAGTGTGTTGCTGGGTTGATATCCTGGGGTGAGATTAATCCTGGTGAACAAAAAGCGTCCAAAATGAACAACCCGAAATCAAAGGTAAATGCCAAAGGAAAGATAAATGCTGAACAGAATCTGTTACAAGGCGGGCGTGCAGCTTTTCTCGACACCCGTTGAATTAACGCACGCGGAGCATCACTGCATTTCACACCGCGAGTCTTTTAATTATGCGCGGTTGCATCTGCGATACGAGTGCTGTGATGTAACGGAGTACTAACCGATGCGGACACCTGATTGGCCAGAGGGTAGGCGGGCGCTTTACTCTCTGTCGTTTGATTGGCGCATCAGAGCTTGACGGGCCAAATTCTAGCGCTGATTGGTCAGAGAGACGGAGGTATGGTTTCATTTATACGGAGTAATTTACAGAGGCGTAAAACTACTACCTGAACATCAGACAAAAACTGTTTAGATTATAAATGATAAAATTATATATGTATAACGTGTAATATATTTTACTTTCACACACATCACAATTATACTTAAACCATTATGGATATTTTAGTGCCTTTCATAGACAAATCACATCGGTCTCTCTTCCCACAATTATTCATGATTCTGTTCTGTTCCAGTATACACTCACATGTTACAGTTTTCACAGTTCCATCGGGATACATATATTTTTAAGCAAAATTGGAATTAAAAAAAATAATATTGCATACTTAAAAATACTTAAATACTACTGCATACTTAAAAATAGTGTCTGACTAAATGATCGTCTAAAAGAGATGCTCAACCATCGCTGGATTATTTTGCATTTCAATGAATGAATTAATTAATGAATAGAAGTTTATAGATAAATAAATATTTTTATTTATATATAAATAATTCCTAAATTTGAGCCTGTTGATAAAGACCAATGAACGAAGGCTCTTCGTGGTTACTGACCCCGTGTGTGTGTGTGTGTGACTCACTCATATGCGGGGGGATTGAGTGCGCGTGCGTCCGACCCGTTGAAGGATGAAGAGGAGGAGGATATACCGACGCATATGGCTTTATATAACAGCCGATTTTTATCTCAGAAACGATTTTTATCTCAAGAAATCTTATTACTAGCCTATAATACAGTAGCTATTTTTTCGTATAACCGTAAAAAATACAGTAGGCTATTTCAATGAACACTAGTGGGAGAATTCATAAGAAACTGTGCTTCGTTGTCATGAATAATAATAATGTCACAACGAGGGAAAAAAATAATATTCCATGTTCATATTTATAAGTTCTTCCTTTTGATTTGGGTGTATATTATTGCCCAGTCATGTTCTTGGCAGATTTTGAGAGATTCACTAATACAATGCATTCATCAAGATTCATAATTCACCTCATAATCAGTTGTATAAACATTCGTAATTCATTTTAATCTTGCTATAGTACACTATACAACACTTACTTTTTCATTTTACACTTAAAATATATCATATGAAGCTTCATGTGTTACATGAAGTTAACTTGAGCATGACTCTCATTAAATGTGTAAGAATATTGTAATGAATACTGACCAGGTTCAGAAATAAATGCCACAGTAATCAATAAAAACACAAAATAAAATAATAAAAAATAAAAAGTGAGGTAAAAAAAACAAACATGAAATTAAAATAATAAAATAAAATACATATAAATAATTTTTAAAAATCAAGAGGTATGTGATGTTTTTGTAACTTTATATATTATTTAACAAATATTATTATTTAGATGCAGAATTAATTCAATTGCAAACAATTCAACAATTTATTTGACAAAAGGATGACACACCGTACTGAAGTCAAAATATAGATTCCAGGAATATTTTTCCATTTCTGACACCGATTGCAAATGTGGCTACAATTATTGCTGAGCAGATATTAAAGGGGTCCTATTATGCTTTTTCACTTTTTTTTGTTTTAGTCAGTGTGTAGTGTGTATGTTTGGGCATAAAAAAGATCTAGAAAGTTACAAATCTCAAAGTCCACTCCAAAGGGAGATATTTCGTTTTTTAAAAATCCCTTTTCAAGAACTACAACGAACGGCTCGTTTGGACTACAGCGTTTGGTTTCTGGGCTTTGTGATATCACAAAGCGGCTCATTGGAATATCATTACAAATAATTCCCGCATACAGGAATTCGAATGGTTGGGGGGTGGGGAGGGGCGAGGTTGTGTTTAGAACGCTTGGTTGAGTGAGTGCATCAGACGAGACGACGAAGAAGAAGTGCTGCTGCAGAGTTAGTGCATCAGAGAAAACCAAGAAGAAGAGCTGCTGTGCTGTAGCTTCAAATTTTCGGCATGTCTAGAACAATTCTTACAAGTATAAAACACGACGTAGCTGGGCACCGCGGACAGACGCCGCCGGTGTGCCTACACTCATAGAAAATAAAGTATTTGAATTTTAAAGACGTGGCGCGGCGCGACGCTGCGATT